AGAGAACACACACACACACACACACACACACACACACACACACACACACACCCGAAATTTAAAGAGGTTAACGATCACACTACGAGCGAGCGTAAATGCCCAAAATCAAAAATCTTTGGCAAGAATCCACGTATGTTTATCGCAAAGACTTTCAGCTATATGACAAATGAATCGCAGACGTTTCACAGTCGGCGATTCCGGAGAATACTTTACGGCTCCCAAAAGTCTCCGTTGTGTAGCAATAAAAGGGACATTAGTGGTACGTCCATTATAGCACACACATTCCAAGATATCTATAATCGCAAAACATATAACGAAATACACGAAAATTTAAGGATATAAAAACGATAAATTCAATTGTAATTTATAATAAGACATACTTTTCTCTTTCTACAATCGTAAAAAGATTTAGCTGATGACGACTCAGATCCACTAATAACGCAACCAGCTAAATAACGTAATCTATCAAGTAGCTAAAAAGTAGTGGGCCTCAATAATCCAATAATATCGACATCGTGATAATCTAAAAAACGAAATGTAAAACTTGGGTGTGCCCAATTCCACGAGAATCATACATATGTGAGAAACAAGGGAGGGGATATCTCGTCGTTTAAAAACTAACACAACATTCTTCTTTAGTATCGAGAGACTTCTCTAGGGACGAGGAGCGCACGGAACGATGACTCTGAAGAAATTATCTAAAAATTTATCCGCAACAAGATTTTATATCGTTTGCATACTCTTAAACATTTGTTCGAATAATGCCATATGTAATATGCTTTATTGTGAAGGATTTTTATTTCAGACATAATAACATTATAATTATATGTGATTAATATTAATGACATGATCGATAAACTATATACTAAGGGATAGAATTCTGTGAGGATGCTGCAAACATTTTCTCTGATTTTCCTGTCTTTCAGAAACGATTACGCTCGCGTACACTTCATAACATGAAAGTTGTATATATAGTTCTGCATATCAATAAAAAAACGGAAAAGAAAACGTGCGCGAATACGGCGTACTCTTGCAGAAAGCAAAAACGTGTTGGCATGAAAAAACACCTACGATGAAAGATCTATACACACAATAGTCGATCTAGAATGTTTTGTAAACTTATTAAATTTTGATGCTTGTTGTTTAGCAATAACGATATCTTAATTTCGTTTTCTTACAAAAAAATAATAATAAATATAATACACACATACACACACACACGCGCGCGCGCGCGCGCGCGCCACCCATACGCACACAGAGTTGTGATGATTACCGTAAGTTGTGATTCACCGTAATAAATATAATCGATTTTTCGTCAAAGTGAAAAAATACGACATCTTTATGTATACTCTATTATGTAAATAACGTGAGCACGCGTTCAATGAAGTTGATGATTATACGGTAATCCTATGGGAATATCCATTCATGACGAACAGTTTCAATAGGACGATATTGCGTACGTTCTTGATATACTTAATGATAGAACTCGATTCAATTATCCATAAATATCCTCTACCAAAAGCACTGGTAACGTGAAAAATAACGATCTCGAAGAAAAATCTATCGCGATTAAAAATAAATTATTTTTAAAACTATAAAAACTCCATAAAAAAAATATAATTTTGATAAAGGAGGTAAAGAAAGTTTGTTATAAAATTCAATTTTATCTTATCTTAAAAAGTTGCGTTCTTAAAATTAGCGTGTGACTTCGTGCCGCGAAGGCATCACGGCAAAGGAAAGCATTCGTTTGTCTGGAAAATGCTCGAAAAATTACGTTGTGTCGCAAAGTGACACTGAAAAATCGATATCACGATTATCTCAGGAAAACGGCATACTTTATTACTCTCGTATCCTTTGGCTCTCGGGCCACGTTAATGCATAGTTGAAACACTTTTTCGACAAAACATCATTTACATTTAGCAATTTAGGTTTTCGTCGTCTCTTTCTTTTTCTTTCTGTTCGAGTGTTAATCCGCGTAAATCCGCGTAAATCCGTAAAGAGATTTTTCATTCATCACATCTCATTTTTACGTTTCGCTCCGATGCTTCAGTTCGGATATAAAAATTGATACGATTGATAAATAAGTGGGCCAAAAAAATGAAATCTTAGCGATACACGCGCGCGCGCGCGCGTAATTAGGATCGCCTATGTATGTTATAAACACGTCGCGACCTTTCATCGATTCGGCGACACATGTGCATATGTAACGTCCCGTTACATTACCTACAGAGAAGGAATAAAAATCCATGTATATGAGAATATAGAGAATAAAAGTCGCGCGAGTTTTCTTTCTATAAGACGATATCGCTATCGCCATCGCGAGTCATTGTGTTGTAAAAATAGCGTGACATTTCATCGATCGTGTAACATACTCGTAAAAACGAGTGCGACTGTGCCGACACGAAACAACGCGAAAATAGGTTCGTGAAATTCGATTTGTATTTCGATCCTTGACTCGTCCGAGCGCGCGGTTTAGTCATCCTATTCGAGGACGACGTGCCGAACGGACCGATGTGAGGATTAATCCCCTCATCTCATATATAGAGAGATATATGATGTATGCATTTTTCATTACATATATACTATCATTACATATACACATTCTCTTAAGTATAAGCTTAATCTTAATCGAGACTTTTGTTGAACGTTGAAATTAATTATATAAAATCTAACAAAGAAATAAAAATAGCGTAGCAAATTGAATTTATGTTACGCCGCGTGTCTCGATCAAACTATATCTCGTATCGAATCACCGTGGAGACGATATCTGTAACGCGATAAGAATATGTGCTTTAATTATCGGACATGAGTACACTCTTTCGACGTTATCAATCGGTCATGTGGTGTGTTAACCTCGCCTTTGAACGAGACGATAAAAAGTCGTCAAAATTTTTTTTTCTTTGAAACATCACCGCGGGTTACCGCGGTTGGTCGAGTCGAATTTCGTTTCGTTTCGACGCATCTCCGCTGTCCGCGATAATAGAAATAGTGTTATACAGAGATCAGAAGTCTGGAGATAAACGCTCTGTCATCACACATGCTGGAAATGTGATGCTGGAAACGAAGCGATTAAAAGGAAAGATCGAAAAATTGCTTACCGATCGATTTTATCCATCGTAGTAGGATGTTGCAAGATGGTTTGCTGCCCGGTCATCTCGACGACGCATTGCGTACAGAGTTCCAATTCTATAACGAGAAAAGAAGTATCGTAATGAATAAAGATGAATCGCTTCCATATCTCTACGTCTAAATTGCTGATCGTGGATTAAAAATCCACACAATTTACGAAATACTCACTCATCCGATTTCATCCTTTTAATTGATATACAATATTGGTGTGATATATTTAAATTAAATCGATGCTGATTAATAATTTTCTTTTTCTTAATTACGCGAGTTTTTATCCTATTCGCTATATATCGAAATTATCAAATGCATTTATAATCGTATCTTTTCCACTATCCAAAAAGTTTAATCAAATTGATCAGAAACTTGATTAATTTGATTAACTTTTAACCAAATATAGAACGTGTCATCGCATACATAATGATGTCCAGAGATATAAGACGATCGCTCAACAGTTGGGAAGTTTTGGTAACAAGATGAGAATGTATTGTGTTATAAATCATGATTATACGTTGCGCTAAAGTTGTCGTTGCTCAATCATTAGCTCAATGTGAAAAAGAATACGAAGATATGAAGAAATTCGCGCTTGAGAGGAGGCGTCGATAGATTAATAAAAATTAAGAAGAAATCCTCTTGTATTATAAAGTGATAAATAAAATGCCAATAATCTGAGCGGTACAAGGTTTATTAGATAGACGACTTTTCACAGGCATCGAAAAAACAAAAGACGACAAAATATTAAAATTTATTTTATTTTCTAGATTGCTTACTTACTATTACATTGTTTCGAAAAGAAAATATTGAAAGCGAGTAGATCTCGGGGGTACTCAACTTGAAGAATATCTTGAAAGCATATCCTTTTCGTCAAGGATACTACAAGGCGGTACTACAAGATAAACACTACGCGCCACAGTTTGAGAAGTTATCGGATCGTTCCAAATCGACAGGTGTTGAATTTACTACCGACCCGAATTTACGATAGGCCAGAGAGAGAGAGAGAGAGAGAGAGAGAGAGAGATACGCACTCGATGCTATCAAAATATAAAGAATACAAAAATTGGCGATTTACAATAATTTGTATCAAAAGTTTTTTCTCGTTCACGATTATGAGAACTACATATACCACACCGGTGTGGTTATCTAATAATAAAAATTTACGACGACGACGACGACCACGGGGGAGGGGTGGGGAGGAGGAGGCAAATTTTTTATTTTCCCCTCGAAGATGATAAAATTAACAATTTTATAATTCTGCTTTCGCAGCGCAATATTATTCATATTTACAATGTTTGTAAAAAGAAAATTATAATACTGAAATCGGAATACGAAAATGAAAGCGTACAGTGCTCTCTTACTTCTCGTCAAAATAGTTTAATCGGATCAGTTTATTCTAGAGACCGTTTCTCTCTGCACTTTCTCCAATGAATTTCTTGTGCTCGTTATTTTATGCATTGCCGTATTATAATTTTTTAGAATAAATATTTTTTGGAATAAATTTTTTTGACAATATACATAGAACAAAGATTAATTAAAGGATCAATAAAATCGAGAACCGAAACAATATTACGTTATTGTATAACGCGCTATCTTGATGATGTGAAATAATTACAGTGGGTTGAAAGCAGAGAAATGACCGTAACAGTTATTCTGCGATTAGTTAAGAAAGGGATGATGACTCATAAAACTAGGTAGAAAGTAAGTGCAATGGCAATGGCTTCTTTGTGTGCCAAAGTGCGACGTCACCATGCCGTAATAATAAACACATTAAACGTTCAAGAAAGTCAAGAGAACGCATTAATAGAGAGAGAGAGAGAGAGAGAGAGAGAGAGAGAGAGAGAGAGAG